GGCGCGGCGGGGCCGGGCGCGGGGGGCGCGGGCGGCGGCAGCCCCGAGAAGAGCCACAGCGCGCAGGAGCACAAGGAGCAGGGGAACCGGCTCTTCGGCGGCCGCAAGTACCCCGAGGCCGCCGCCTGCTACGGCCGCGCCATCGTGAGTCCCAGCGGCTCCCCCGGCCCGCGCGGGCCCGGCCCCCGGGACGGGAACACCGGGGAGGGGACACGGCCTGGGTACCCCCGGGACGGGACTCCCCGGGGACGGGACACGCCAACCTGGCCTCGATGACCCCAGGATGGAACCTCCCCCTTGGCCTGGACACCCTCCCGGACCTGGCCCGGCCAACCCTGGGGTGGGATCCCCACGGATGGGCCTTCCCCCGGCCCTGGCCTGGACATCACCAGGGTGGAACCTCCTTGGGCTGGGCACTGTTCTTCCTCAGGGTCTGGTCAAGATACCACTGACATGGCAGCCTTTTAATGTGGGCACTGTTCCCTCACTGGGCCGGGCTCCTCCCGGGGAGGGAGCTGGGCACAGCTCTGGGCCTGATTCCACCGTCCTGGGCCTGGGCTACCACCCCTAGGCCTGGCCTAAGCACCCCCCCGGCCCTGGCCTCCTCTTTGGGCTTGGACAGCCTCTGCCCATCCTCTCCCCCACCCAATTCCAAGCTGGACTGCCCTACACTCCCCCCACCAGAGTGCCCCCATCCTCAGCCTGTTTCCCCTAAACCCTGCACTGTCCCTGGGCTGTTCTGGGTAGGACAGACCCACCCTGGGACAGTCGGGGTGCCAGGGGTGCCAGTCCCCTCTGTGGGCAGGGACATCGGCTGCCCTATGGGGACCGGCCCCAGTCTGTCCCCAGTCCATCCCAGCACCTCCCCACGGGGTGCACGCCCCCGCTGGCACTGCTGGCTCTCCCTGCCCAGGGTGACAGCGCTGTGCCGCTGGCTCACCGAGTCACCCGGCCGTCACCCGGCTGCCGGCACGTCCTGGCCCCGCCACCGCCACCAACATGGGCCTGTCCCCGCAGAACCGGAACCCCTTGGTGGCCGTGTACTACACCAACCGGGCCCTGTGCTACCTGAAGATGCAGCAGCACGACAAGGCGCTGGCCGACTGCAAGCGGGCGCTGGAGCTGGACGGGCAGTCCGTGAAGGCTCACTTCTTCCTGGGCCAGTGCCAGATGGAGATGGAAAACTACGACGAGGCCATCGCCAACCTGCAGAGAGGTGAGCGGGCACGCTGCCACTGTCCCCTGCTCCTGTCTGCTGGGAAAGGGCCAGGGATGGCAACAGGGACGCTGCCACTGGCTCTGAGGTGCCCTTTCTCTCCTCAGCCTACAACCTCGCCAAGGAACAGCGGCTGAATTTCGGGGATGACATCCCCAGTGCGCTGCGCATCGCCAAGAAGAAACGCTGGAACAGCATCGAGGAGAAGAGGATCAACCAGGAGAACGAGCTGCACTCCCACCTGACCAAGCTGATCGTGGCCGAGAAGGAGAGGTAACGGGGCACCTGGAAAGGCTTTTTTAGTGCTATCAGCTGTGTCTGAGGTGCCTCTGCAGAGCCCTGCAGCAGGAAAGGGAGTGACAATGTTCCCCCATCCTCCTGATCTCCCACTCTGTCCTAGGGAGCTGGCAGAGTGCCGAAAGATTCAGCAGGAGGAAAACACAGACGAGAGCCGGAGCCGTGTTCAGCTGGCCAGCATCGAGGCCAAACACGTGAGTGGGGGGCCAGGGGTTTCCTCATCCTCATCCTCGTGCTGTGCTGCAGCCAGGGAAGCTGCAGGGCTGCAGATGTGCAGGTGAAAGCTGGGAGACCTTGGGACACAGCACTGTAGCCTTCATTCTATAGCTCGAGGCACCACTGTTGTGTCCCCCCATGATGGCTTCCCCTGCTTTGTCACCTCTTGTCCCAGCCCGGCAGCGGTGATGCCTGCTGTGCCTGTTCTGAGGAAACACAAGTGGCTCTTGGCCACTCTGGGGACTGATCCCAGATAAAAATAGGCCCACAAAGAAAGATTATTTATAAGCTAAATCACTCCTGCCAGGTTCAGTCAGGAGCTGCACAGGCAGAGGGGCCATCAAGGACCTGCCACAACACCCATGGGTGGAGGCTTTGGGGCTTTCCGTGGGGACATGGAGCCCCTGCACACCAGGGACCCCTTGTCCTCAAGGGCTTCTCTTTCAGGACAAATACCTGGCAGATATGGACGAGCTCTTCTCCCAAGTGGATGAGAAGAGGAAGGTGAGTGTGGTCCGGCCTGTGCTCCTGTAAACCTGCTCTGTACCGTGCTCCCCCCTCTGAGCCAGTGCCACCTCCCAGCCCACTTTCCTGACCCAGCTGTGCCTCTCTCGAGCCAGAAGCGGGACATCCCCGACTACCTGTGTGGGAAGATCAGTTTTGAGCTGATGAGAGAGCCCTGCATCACGCCCAGCGGGATCACCTACGACAGGAAGGACATTGAGGAGCATCTCCAGGTACTGCCAGGCCAGGGGCAGGGGGTTTTCCCAGAACTTTGCTTGGGTGGGAAAGCACCTTTTTGCTCAACTCAGGGCTCTGCAGGTTCCTTGGGTTTGGTCCCAGTTACCTGCCCGGGCAGCTCCCTGTGGAGCAGGCGCTGCCGGGCCCTGCCCAAAGCAGAGGCGGCTCTTGGCAGGGGTCTTGCACCTTGACCTGCCCTCATCCTGCTGGGAGGCACCTCCGAGGGGCTCTCCCTCTTCCTGCAGGCAGGTGCCCACTTGCTGGGGCAGATGCCACACGGTGCTGGCCCCACAGCCACCTCAGGGCTGAGCCCGGGCACGTGGAGTAACCGGTTCCCCCGCGCCTCCTCCCTGCAGCGCGTGGGTCATTTTGACCCGGTGACGCGGAGTCCCCTGACCCAGGACCAGCTGATCCCCAACCTCGCCATGAAGGAGGTGATAGACGCGTTCATCTCGGAGAACGGCTGGGTGGAGGATTACTGAGGGGCCGGGGGCAGCGCTGGGTGCCCTGGCACAGCCGGCTCTCCCCGGGCTGGCACCATGCCTTACTCGCTCTCCGGCTGCTCCTCCTCCTCCCCAGCTGCCCTGGGCCTGGCGCTGGGCAAGGGCACGTCACCACGTCCCCTTCCCGAGGAGCCGCAGCAGCAGGGCGGGCACCGCGGCTCCCTGGCTCCCCTCTCTGGCTCCGACACCTGCCTGGGGGTTGGAATGCTGGCTCCTCGGCAGTGGCCTCACCATCACGTCCATCACCCCCTCAGCCAGGGCAGCCACACTCCCCAAAGAGCATGTCCCGCTCCAGGGATTGCCACAGGGAGCTTGCCGGGATGAGCACCTGGAGCCCCATCCTTCCCTGTGTTTAGAGTTCTTTCCTCCTCCTTCCACCTCCTGCCTGGCCAGGGTTGGGTCCTCTTCCCAGTAAACAGCCACTTGCCGGGATGCTGACGCACCCTCTGGCTCTTCCTGGGAAACAACTGTCCCAGGGCTGGAAGGGGCTGGTTCCCACCTCCCCTTTCCCACTGGGACTATGCTTCCCTTAGAACAACCACCTGGGTTAAAGTTCTTGTTCCTTTTAATGAAATCTCTTAAAATCCCCACAAGAAATAACCAACAGATTTGCATCCAACTGTGGTTCCAGCGTTTCGGTCGGCCGATGGCCTGCCTGGCTTTTGAATGCCCTCTGGAAGTTTGCCAATGTCCATTAAAAAAAAAAAAAAGTAAATATATAGATATATAAAAAGAATAAAAAAAAATACAGCAATAAACGTGGAAAAGGATCTGGAGTGGTTCACAGCAGCCATTTCTGGGGATATCCCGGCTTGGGAATCCGTGCTATCCCATGGGGCCCGGGTTTGCTGCAGGGATGTAGCAACACACAGTGTGCTTCAGTGGAACAGCTTTAATCCAAACGGGAGGGTAAAGACCAGTAAAAACCAGAACTTTCTCAGGCAGTTGGTCCCAATATCAGTTGCCTTTCCCTGAGGGTGGCAGGAGCTGGAGCTCCTGCCCTGGCTGGGATGGTGGTGACGTGTCCCAGTCCTAGCCCAGGAAGGTGGAGATGAAGACGCTGGTGTCCAGGTTGAGTGTGGCGTGCCACCAACGGTCAGGGAAGTACAGGACCTGCAGGAGACACCAGTGGGGTCCCATGGCTCTGGCTGGGAAGGCTGGGGTCCCCTGCAGCTCCTGGACTCACCTCCCCAGGGCGCAGGGTGCACTCCAGCGGGCGCTGGGCTGGTGGCAGGGTGGGATATGTGTGCTGGAGCCAGGCCAGCGTCGTCTCGTTGGGGTGGAAGTGCGGGGTTTTATCCGGCGGGTACAGAAACCAGCGCTGGAAAACACCAGGGGCACGTGCCCTCCCAATTCCCCCCAGCCCCTCGGGCTCAGCCCCAGCAGGGCTTCCCCGTGCCCAGGGACACCTGTTAGGGGCTTGTTTCTCTCCCCTCTCCCCAGATCCTTCCCCTAGGGCTCAATTCTCACCTTCCTGCCGAAAATCACCTCGGAGAAACCAGGGCCGTGCCAGTGGAAGGGAACGCCAGAGCCTGAGCCTGCGGTGGGCGCGGGGTTTGGTGCTGGGGAGAGCCCCCAGGCCCGGCCCGATCCCATCCCGGGGGTCCCATCCCACACCGGGGGTCCCCATCCCACACCGGGGGTTCCCCATCCCATCCCGGGGGTCCCATCCCACACCCACCTGCAATCCCAAAGCTGTAGGCGGGGTTGGTGCCCGGGATGCGGAAGGGAGGGGGCACGTAGTGCTGGAAGAGGGGGCCCCACTCGGTGAAGTTGTTGTCCCCGAAGAAGTAGAGGGTGTCTGGGGGGACACGGGAGCTGAGCCCGGCGAGGGCAGGGGGCTGCGGGGGACGGGACAGCGCTACCCACCGCTGCCCAGCCGGGCCGGGTCCTGCGGCTTCAGCAGCTGCTCCACGTACTCCTGGAACGGCACATCCACTGCGGGAACGGAGGGATGAGCGGGGGAAGCGGCGGCCCCGCGGCCGGGCACGGCCCCCGCGCTCACCTTTGCGGTACGAGTAGGTGTTGGCCGTGCTGAGCCGCACCGGGAAGGGCCCGAAGGCCGCCAGCAGCTTCTCCCGGGTGCAGAGGGCTCGGAACGCCTGCGGGATGGAGCACAGGGAGCCGGGATGCTGCCGCCGCTCCCGGGCCACCGGGAGGTGTGTCCCACCCCGAACCCTCTGTCCCCTCCCGGCACTCACCGAATTGTCCGTGACCCCAGCGAGGATCACCGGCCGGGAGAAGGCGAACCTAGGAACGGCATCCAGCGGGGTCCGGCACGGGCGGAGCACGGGCACCAGCCCCGACCCAGCCCGGGACAACGGGACTGGCTCCAAGCCGCCCCCGGGGCACCGGCATCGGTCCCGACCACCTTCCCCCAGGTTCCTGCCCGGGACTCCAGGGTCTGCCCCCCCAGTTCCCCCCGCCCCTCCCCGTTAGCTCGCCCGGTGCATCGGAACTGTCCCCCAGGACTGTGCCCGGTGCCCCGTACCGCTGCAGGAAGAGGGAGTAGGTGAGGGATGCATCGGCTCGCTCCACGGTGCAGCGTGGCTCCTCCGGCACCGTGCCCGCCAACCTGCAACGGGAGACTCCGCTCGGCACCAGCACCGGCACAGGGAGCGGTCCCGGGGCAGCCCCTACCCTTACCAGCCGCCGCCCGGAGGATCGGTGCAGGCGCCGGGCCGGACCCAGCCCAGCGGCAGCACTAGCAGCGGCAGCAGCCACGCCGCCATCGGGACCAGCGCCGGAGACAACGGGAACTACGATTCCCAGCATGCACCGCGGACAGACGGTACGCATAGCGCGTTGCTACGGGTGCCGGGAAGGGCCGCTATTTAAAGGGGCTGCGGAAAGCGGGCCCCACCTCACGGTTTAAAGCGGCCTCCCGGCACAAAGGGACAACAGCGTGGGGACACCGGGGACACCGCAGGGATTGGTCCGGGGCCCATCCCGCGGGCCGCTGCATCCAGGCGAAGCAAACACAAGAGTCCTGGCTCAATTCAACTGCTGGTTTGTTTTAATCCAGTAAAAAACGGCCGGGCAGGGGGTGCACCCCCGGCCCTTATTTACACAAATAAATACAGGGAGGGCGGTGCCAGGGCTATCGAGCTGCCTGCCCTGCTCACCCCCGCGCCACCCCGCTGCCAGCCCCCCCGCGGGCACGGGGCTCAGGTGTACTCGCAGAGGTGGCCACAGCCAGCAGGGCAGTGGGAGCTGGTCTCCAGCCACTTCATGATGTGCTGCAGGTGCCCGCCGTGGCTGCAGCCCTGGCACCAGACGAAGAGCCCCTTCACCACGTGGTGACACACGGCACACATGCTGGCACACTGCCGACACCTGCACGGGGAGATTCGGGTCAGCGTGGGCAGGGACAGCCCTCGGGGGAGCAAACAAGAGGGAACAAGGGCACCCACCCCATCCCCCTGTCCCCACAAACCCCTCTGGGCCCCCTCACCTGTCACAGATCCAGCCCCTGTTGCTCATGGGCCGCTTGCAGTTGCTGCAGTTGACGTGCAGGGTGGTGGAAGCCTGGTTGAGGCAGTTGATGGCACGGCAGGTGCTCAGCTTGATCACCTCGTTGGAGATGTTCCAGAGCTGGAAGCGCTGCAGCAAGTCGATGTAGGACGTGTACCAGTGCTCCTGGGGACAGCCACAGACAGCTGAGCCTCCACATCCACCTCAAAACCCCCTCAGGATCCCAGCCCTGCATCCCAAAGGCAAGATGAGCTCCTGGGCGGCTCAGCCTGGAGAAAAGGAGGCTTAGGGCAGAGGGCTTCTCACTCTATAAGTCCCCAGCAGGAGGGTGGAGCCAGGTGGGGGGTCAGGCTGTGCTCCCAGGGAACAAGGGACAGGACAAGAGGAAATGGCCTCAAGTTGTGCCAGAGGAGGTTTAGTCTGGATATTAGGGAGAATTTCTTAATGGAAAGGGTGGTCAAGCATTGCCACAGGCTGCCCATTGCAGTGGTGGAGCCACCATCCCTTGGAGGGATCTAAAAGCTGTGCTGATGTGACACCTGGGGACATGGTTCAGTGGTGGCCTTGGCAGTGCTGGGTGAATGGCTGGACTCGATGATCTTAGGGGGCTGTTCCAACCTAAAGGGTTCTGTAATTATCTGATCCCTGCAGTGGGAGAACGGCTCTGTAATGCTGGGGAACAGCATCCTTCCCTGTATCAACAGGGCAAGGTCACCTCCCCATCCTGGCCCGGCAGAACCCACCTCAAGTCCCTTCCAGAACTGGTGGCAGGGCAGGTACCAGAACCCCGAACCTGGCTTAGAGCTGGCCTGCCAGGGGCTGGAGGAGAAGGGACGTGCCCCAAACCCCAGGCAGGATCCCATCCCATTGGGATGCACCCCCTGTGGGTCCCAGCAAGGCATGGTCCTGCCTCCCATGGGCTCTACCTGCGTCTGCTCATCGATCTCCTTGCGGATGCGCTCTCCCAGCACGATGAGCACGGACACGGCCGTCTGCACGTCGCCCTGCTCGGCGTAGAAGAGCAGCGTGTCCCGCACGATGGGGTTGAAGAAGTCGGAGGGCAGGCGGTTCTCGTAGAGCGAGTGGGAGATGGAGATCAGCGAGAAGGACTCCACGGGGGTCAGCGACACCGTCTCGGCCTCGTTGCCGCTGACGTGAGGGGAGTCGGCCTTGTCCTGCAGGTGGTCCAAGGCCGACGGGTTGTCCACGATTTCGTGGCGCAGGGGAAAGGCTTCCTGAGGAAGGCTGTATTCCTGCTCTTCAGCTGTGAGAATAGCAGGAATGAGCAGGAGAAAATCCAGCTGGGACGGACAATACCTCCCCGTGTGCGCTCACCGTGTGGGTTCTCGTGGTCCATCATGTACAGGTCATCCTCATCTGCCTCCACATCTCCCAGCAGATAATCCGCAGGGACGTCGCTGCCCTCCGTCTCCTCGTTGTCTGTGAGCCCAGGGAAAGAGAAATCAGCTCATCACACCACTGGATCCACCTCCCACTGTCCTGCCCCAGCATGCCAGGCTGTGCCTGAGCCACACAGCTCAGTTCCCCAGCACTGTCACTGTCACCCCAGGTCATCAGGGAAAGTTGTCCTGCAGCGCCCTGGGGCTCGGTGTCCTTCACCCTGGGGCTGCAGCACATCCAGCCACCCCAATTCACAGGATAAATGCCCCAGTTCATCCCCTGTCTATGGCTGAGGAGGGAGGAGCTGTGGGACTGGGACTGTGCCCACCCAGAGACGTTACCCTCGTTGTTGATCAGGGTGGAAGAGGAATCCATGAGGATGTTTTCTGTGCGGCTTTCTCCTTTGCTGCGGTCCAGTCTGGACTCGCTGCCCAGCCCAGCAGGGATATCTTTCAGGTTAAAGCTGGGAAAAAAAGCCAAATTTCACAGTTAGAGGAGTATAAGATTTCCATTAGAGCCAGCAAACAACCTGGATACAGGTGTCCAGTTGCAGTTTGAATGGTGAAATATGAGATACCCTTTGTGGGCAGAAGTCAGCAGTCCCCACTGTGTGACTTAAAGACACACTGTGACTGTGATCACAGCCCTTCCTCCAAGCCTGGCAGTACATGCACTGCAAAGGTCTCCCTAAAGAATTCCAGCGCTGAGGAGGCTCTTGGCTCCACTTCCTTCCCCTCAGAGGCAGGTGAACAGGAGCTGCCTCGCTCCAAGGTGCCTGGCTGTTTGTTATGCATCACCACGCCTGGCCTTCACCAAGATGGAAAAGGAAGGGATGGGGTTGGAGCAGAGCCCAGCTCCCCAGGCTCCTGCCGTGTCTCAGACAGTGGCACAGCCACCCAGCTGGAGGCAGAGCTTGCTCAAGGACAGTGCTTGTTTCCTTTGGTGTTATTTGAGGATCTGTCAGTCACTGTGGGAACCCGGCACTGCAAGGTCTGACAGCTCATTTGGAGTCCTCACCCCTCACGTTTATGTCATTGAGAAGAGGAAAAACAAGTTTTCCTGCTTCATCAGCCCACAATGGGCTCTCCATGTCAGCGAGCTGCTGGCAGAGCTGGGCTGTTCTCTCCCTTGGAAAGGCTCCAGAAGAAAACCTCTGCACACCAGCAGTTCCAGCTCCAGCCATGAGACACCTTCTCCATCCCCAGCCCTTGGTCACCATCACTGCCCTGGGCACTGCTGAGGCCTCACCTCAAATCCTGGGGTCACTCTTGGGGCCCTCATGACAGGAAAGACACTGAGGGGCTGGAGCATGTCCAGGGAAGGGAACAGAGCTGGGAAGGGGCTGGAGCAGCAGCAGCAGCTGAGGGAGCTGGAAAGGGGCTCAGCCTGGAGAAAAGGAGGCTCAGGGGGCCCTTCTGGCTCTGCACAACTCCCTGACAGGAGGGGACAGCCGGGGGAGTTGGACTCTGCTCCCAGGGAACAGGGACAGGAGGAGAGGGAATAGCCTCAAGTTGTGACAGAGGAGGTTTAGATTGGATCTTGGGTAAACTTCTTCATGGAAAGGGAGGTCAGGCACTGGCACAGCTGCCCAGGGCAGTGGTGGAGTCACCACACTTGGAGATCTTCAATATCATGTAGATGTGGTACTCAGGGACATGGTTGGTTTAGTGGTGGCTTTGGCAGTGCTGCTGGGGGAATGATCTCAGAGGACTTTTCCAATGTTAGATATTCTGTGATTCATGAATTCAGTCACTGCAATACTGGTCCCAGCCCCATGCCCCACCACAGGTCAAACTCTGGTTGAAGGAGGGAAGAAAGCAGTGTGTGAGGCTGCACAGCTCGAGGCCAGGCTGGGCACTCACTTCCCAACATGGGAAATGGTTGCGTTCAAACAACACCAACATGCAAAGCAGCACAGCCTGAGGCTGAGGGAGAGCTGTCCCTACTCACTCCCTGTCTGGGGCAGGTTAGTTATTAGGTAGAAATTGTTCCCTGTGAGGGTGGGCAGGCCCTGGCACAGGGTGCCCAGAGAAGCTGTGGCTGTCCCTGGATCCCTGGAAGTGTCCAAGGCCAGGCTGGACAGGGCTTGGAGTAGCCTGGGATAGTGGAACGTGCCCATGGCAGGGGGTGGAATGAGATGAGCTTTAAGGCCCCTTCCAACCCAAACCATTCTTGTATTCCATGATATGATTCTATAACCCCATCCCAGCCAAGGAGCTGTTCCCACTCCCCCCCTCAGGAGTTACCCCACTCAGCTCCCACCCCCTGTACCTGTTCATGAGTGGGAGGGCAGTGCTGCCTTTCCCCATGCTGTGGTTGAGGTTTGTGGATGACACGGTGCCGAGGCTGGAGTAGATAATCCTCAGCATCGTCCACGTCTGAGCCACCTGTGTGGAACACAGTCCCTGTCAGCCCTTTCCATGCTCCCACCCCCCTGCAGCCCCAGCTCTCCTGCAGCTCACCTGGTTGCGGTCCAGCCCCTTGGCCACCTTGGCGTTGTGGTCGCAGAGCTCGGCCAGCGGCCGGCCGGTCAGCGCGTACTGCTTGGCCGTGTGCACGAACCAGTCCATGCTGCCGCTCTCCACGTCCGTCTCGAACACGCTGAGGGCGCTGGAGGACGAGATGTACTCAAACTGCTCCGTGGGGTCCAGCTTGCGCTTGAAGAAGATGGGGTGGCGCCGGTCCCCGATGTAGGGCTTGCGGTTGGAGTCGGAGGAGATGAGGCTCTCCTTGGCGGCGAAGGCCAGGTCTCCGTAGAGGCTGTAGCACAGCCCCTCGGGGTTGGCCCTGTCGATGGGCTGGCTGGCGTCCTTGAAGATGTGCTGATAAAGGGTGCTGTCCTTGGAGCCCGAGAGGAGGAAATAGGGGTCGTGGAGGTGCCGCCACACGATGCCCGTGGTGACGTCCTTGTGCTCCTCGAACATGGCGGAGGGGATGAAGGGGCGGCGCACGTCCCACACGTAGATGTTGTGATCCACCATCATGGAGCAGGTGGCGATGTGGTGCTTGCACTCGGGGCGCCACTTCACCCGTGCCACCGAGGCGATGGTCTGCACGCAGTAGATCTCCTTGGCCCGCGTTGTGTTCATGTCCCACACCTTCACCATCTTGTCACGGCCGCCTGTGGCCAGCCAGCCCCTGGGACAAGGATGGGTCAGTGTTCACCTCTCTGTTCCCAGCGTGCCACAGCACAGGTGTGACCACCGCAGGAAGGCAGCTGGGCTGCAATCCCATCCTCCCATGAGCTCCCCTGACACCTCTGCTCTGCAACCAGCTCAGGCAGCACCCTCCTTCCCGCCCCCAGTTATGGCCCTGTGCCTCTAGAGCCACATCCCAGTCACACCAGTTCCCTCTGGCTCTGCTTTCCACTGGCCAGGCACAGCAGAGAGGAAAAGGCCATTTTGAACATATTTCAGTGCCCCTCTAAGACCATGAGCGGTGGCAGGGAATAAGGAGGGACCTGCACGCTCTAACAGCTGCTTCCAGATCCTTCCCAGCAACCTCCCAGGAAAGGCAGGAGGGAAACACGACTAAACACAAGTGAGCTGTGTCCCAGAGCAGACAAGAAGTGCCTTCCTCAAGATTCCTCAAGCTGAGCACTGGAGCAAGAGGCTGCTGTGACACTGCTATACCCAATCATAAAACACCCACTGCATCAGAACCCCCTAATTTATCAAAGAACAAACCCCAAATACTCTTACACCACCCCAAATGCTCAAAGCAACAATCACTCCTATCTTCCAGCAACATCCCAGCCCCTGACACAAGTGGACAGGGTATCACAGACCATGCTTTCCCCCGCAAAATCCCAATCCGGTTTTTAGGGTCTCTCTTGTCCTGCAAGGCCAGGAGGCTGGCAGGGCCCAGCCCCACACTCACCTGTCCTCTGGGTGCCAGTCACAGCAGAAGACGGGCCCGTTGTGGGCCGTGAACATCCTCTCATAGCGGTCGGGCCGGCGGATGTCCCACAGCTGCACATTCCCGTTCTCAAAGGTGGCAGCGAAGGTGAAATAGTCCCGGATGCTGAACTGGACATCACGTACGCTCTCTGACTGGCCTGGGAAGGGACACAAGTTGAGAGCTCCAGCAAAGCTAAAAATCCCACTGGAAGAGCCATGGGGGTCCCTGGCACAGAGAGAAAGGGTAGCAAGGAGTGCTGCGACTGTCTTCCATCTCCCACACAGACCCAGCTACTACTGAAAGGCAAAAAAAGGCACCAAGTTGCCTCTCAGCTCCTTCTTTCCCTGCTCTGAGCCAACCCTGTTCCTGGGCAAGGGGAAGAACAAAACCCCCAACCCCTGTCCCTCCTAAGGGTGAGGGGACAAGCAAGGAAAGGACAAAGCTCCCAAACTCTGTTTCCCCACAGGGAAACAGGACAACAACAGCCGCATTTGTACCGGAAAAGGTGCTGACAGAGTCCTTCTTGCGCAGGTCAAAGCACTTCATGTAGCCGTCCTGGGAGCCGCTGAGCAGCATGTACACCTCGGTGGGGTGGAAGCACACCTTGTTGACAGTGCGCTTGTGCTCCGTGAACAGCTGGTCCTGCTTGTTGCGGGACGGCTTGCCCAGGTTCCAGGTGACCACCACGCCGTTGGTGGCGGCGGTGGCCAGCAGGTTCTCGTCCATCTGGTGCCACACCACGTCAGCGCAGCTGAAGTTCAGGGAGGGTTTGCGGCCCACACGGAGGTTCAGCTTCTCCACAAACTGCTCCTCCTCGATGGAATAGATCTTGAAGATGTTGCGGCCTGCCACCACCACCTGGGCAGCGTCCCGGCACACGCTGATGGCATTGGCAGGGGCATCCAGGTGGCAGAACATGGTGCGGCCGGACAGCGCATTGCCCCCCAGGGCAGTGGTGACCCTGGCCATCTTCTCCATGGCTGTCCTTGGGGTGCTGTCCCCTCTCCAGCAGGCTGTCTGCACACCCACACAGCCGCCCTGCTCCACCTCAGCCAGAGCTGGGCAGGCACAGGCTGGGCTCCCACGGCTCCTGCCAGGCCCTGCTGGCTCCAACCGCGGCTTTTTGAGGCTGCATCAACGGGCCGTGGAGGTGAGAGGTCACAGAGGCCACAGAGGCCACAGAGGCCACAGAGCTGCCTGTGGGAGGGAGATACAGCCCACTCCTGCCTCCTTCTGTGGCTTCCTCTCAGGGAGTTCCTGAAAACCTTCTCTGGGTTCCTTCTTCCCTCCTTGGCCACACCCTGAGACGTTTCACTGTTGCTGATAATGTAGGTCGAGTACAACGCTGTGGCTGAAATGAGCAGTGTCCGCAGCACGAGGTGGGGTGAAGTGAGGCCACGGTCACCTCCGTGGGGCACTCGGAGTCCCAAAGCCTGCAAGAACCAGGGAATGACCCTCCTTCTCTAGCAGAGGGGGGACAGCAGCTACTCCAGGCTTCCTGGAAGGATCACAGGGTCCCAGGGGCTCTGTCCTCCAGAGCCAGGCTGAGCTCCAGCCACAGCACTGCCCTCTCCAGCCCCTCTGCCCTTCCCTTAGCCAGGTCCCACAGGTCCCTCATACCTCACATTCCCACCCCCTCAAGGCCACTTCCCACCTTCAGAGACCCTTAGGGTCCCCTCCTACCACCGAGGCAACCCCCCAGCCCCTCATATCCCACCCTCTCACCCCATCAGGGCCCTCACCTGACCCACAGCCCGCCAGGACCCCTCAGATCCCTCATACCCCACACTTCCCCCTGTGCAGGACCTGGTCCTGACCCAGAGCCCCTTCAGGGCCCCCTCCAGCCCTTCAGAGCCCATTCAGCGTTCCCTCAGAGCCCCCCCCCAACATTACCCTCCTCAGGGCCCCTTCCCACCCCTCAAAGCCCCCAAGGCCCCTTCACATCCCGCTCCCGCCTCACAGACTCCGCTGCCACCTGGTCTCGGACCCCCTCCGTGCGAGGCCCACGTACCCTGTGCCCAGGTGCCCGGTGCCGCTCCCGAAGCCGCACCCGGTGCCCAGGTGCCCGGTGCCGCTCCCGAAGCCGCACCCGGTGCCGGTTCCCCCGCCGGCAGCTCGGCCCGAGCAGGCCCCGCCGCGGAACTCCCGCCAGGCCCCGCCCCCTTCCGCCACTGGCTCCTGCCCCTGCCGCAAGGCCCCGCCCCCTTCCGATGGCGGGCACAGCCCCTGCCGCCAGGCCAAGCCCCCATCCCATGGCGGGCACAGCCCCTGCCGCCAGGCCACGCCCCCACGGAGCCAGGACCCGCCCTCTGCCGGCTGACCACACCCACTCTGCGCCCTTGTCGTTAAGCCCCGCCCGTCAGCCGGTGCCGTTAAGCCGCGCCCCCTCCCGTCACGCCGGTCGGCCCCACCCCTAGATTACGCCCCCCAGTGACCACGCCCACTTCCGGTATCCAGCCGACCCTCACATGGCCACGCCCCATTCCCCGCCCACCCGCGGCTGAAGAGGCCCCGCCCCTGTGGCTGAAGCCCCGCCCACCGCCCAGTCCCCGCCCACAGCCCGGGCCCCGCCCACAGCCCCAGGCCCCGCCCCCGCCCGGATCGGGGCGCGCTGGGGCCGGGTGGACAAGGAGGGCATTGACCTTGGGGGGTTCGGGGCAATGCGGGGTCCGGGGGTGCCAGAGGGACTTGACGTGCAGTAGGAATAGGGGTACAAGGGGATAAATGGGTATTGGAGGACATAGGGTGCCTTGGCGGGGGGTGCCGGAGGGACTGGGAGAGGGGGTTCGCTGGGATGAAGTGGGGTGCTGGAGGGATAGGAGGTGGAATGGGGACTGGGGGTGCAGGAGGAGAAAGAGAGTACCAGGGGGTTACGGGGTGCATCGGGGTGGGAGTGTCATGGAGATGTGGGATCTGGGGGGAATGGGGATGCCGGAGGTGCATCCCAGAGGGAATGAGAGTGCAGGAAAAAATGGGGTTTAGCGGGTTGTGGGGTACATTAGAGGTCAGGGAGGGAAATGGGAGGTGCCGAGGGGATATGGGGTGCATTGGGGGTGTAGGAGTGAGCTGGAGCGTTATAGGGGTGCACAAGGTGTGTGGGTGCGCTGGGGGGGGCTGTGCCAGGTGGTAGGGTGTGCATTGGGGGGGTGCCGGGGAGATGTGGGGTCCAGGGGAGTGGGGGTGCCAGAGGGATGTGGGTGCGTGAGAGATGGGGAAGCAGGGGGATAAATGAGGCTCGGGGACTGTGGGTGCTTTGTGGGTCAGGCTGCAGGGTGGGAAATGAGGGTGCCGAGAGGATACGGGGTGCATTGGTGGTGTACAGATGCACTGGAGGGATATAGGGCTGCAGGGGGTATGGGGGCCACTGCCATGGGGGGTGCAGAGGACGGTATGGGAACCGTGCTGGGAACGGGGACTTCTGCAGGGCTATGGCACCCCGAAACTGCTGCTGTCCCCTGCAGGGGTGCGGGGACCCTCTTTGTGCCGCTGTCCTGCCCAACCCCCGTGTCCAGGGACACTGCCGAGTTTGGGGGTGCAGGCAGCCCCCCACCCCCGTGCCAGGGTCGCTCCGGGCCTCAGCAGTGCCACCCTGGGACTCCCAAACCCCCTTCCAGGGCCACGAGGACCTTTGTGCCATTTTGGTGTGAGAAAGGGGCGTTTCGGACAAAGGAGGGAGCGGAGCCGGCGGTTGGTGCAGCAGTTCCTTCCCGGCCGATACAAAGGCAAAACAAACCGAAAGCGTGTCCGTGTCCGTGTCCGTGTCCGTGCCCATCCCGTGTCCGTGCCCATGTCCATGTCCTCATCCATGCCCACACTCCTCCCACGGCTGCTGTGGCTGCGGGCAATGCCCCGGGGGCGGCCACCGAGCCCCGACCGTGCTGGGTCCCCGTGGGCACCCCAGCCCCCGCCGGCTCGGTCCCATCTCGGCTCAGGGTCCCCCCCGGTCCCCCGCTTGCCGCTGGCATCGGGGCGATGGCTTTTCAGCTGGCA